TTGGCAAGCATTTTTATTTTGTTGAGTATAGATGCACTAAAAATGAGGTTTGTGGACACCCACTTTGAGGGAAGGGATTACGGAAGTGAACACATAATTCTAATTAAGTTTTAGATATCATTATTTAGAAGTCCTGTCCTTTTTTTTAAATCAAGAGGTGAGAGTTATAATAAGTATTTTAATACAATCAAACGGTTAGTGGTCAGTTTTTAGATATCTGTTATAATTGACTAGAGAGATACTTTTCAATGGTCACTTTTACAAAACAATAAAAAAAAGGTATCATTGAAGGGGTCATTTTCTAAAATACGAGCAAAATCGAAATTTTAAATGACGAGAACACAGATTCAAGCATTGATGTTCTAATTATATTTGGAAATAGTATTTTTAATACACCTGAAATATCATAAAAGCGCATTTTTTTCTTTTTAGGGAAAAAGGAAAAACCAAGCCCTATTCGCCGATAATCATATTCAAACAACTCCTTTAATTCTACAGCTCTTTCGTAAATCCTACGATCGTAATGATGCTTCTATCCAAACTTATATATGAAAATTCTAGTAACCAGTTTAGCAATATTTTACACTATGTTATAAGTCTTATTGAATAATTTTATAATAAAATTAAAGCAAATTAAAATTATAAAAATCGTTGAACAAAATTGAAATACAATATCACTATAATTCTTTTTTTCCTGTAGTTACGAAATTTTACTTCATAACATACATCAAAATGTATCAATTTAAAGTTATCACAGTGATAAAAATGTATAAGGTAAATTTAGCAACCATGGTTTTCATTTTATATATGTAAACTCACAGTTTTCTCATCCGCCAAATACTGTTAGTGATTAATGAAATGGTAAAATATAGTTGAATTTACATATGTAATATATAATACAGGGTGTTTCTAAATGCATATCGGAGTTTTAACACTTTATAGTATTTAATACATATAACTTATAAAAGTATAATTAAAACATCGAAGGAAATAGCAACTGAAATGGTTTTGTTTGCTGCCTTGTGTGCACATGCGCGCGAAACGTCTATTAATTTTTTCCCCTTCCCCGTCAATCAGCGAGGTAGTAGAAAATGGCGACTGTTGAACAGAAAGCTTTATGGGTTCTCCAGTTTGATAAGACAGAATCTGCTATTTCTGTACAGCGAGCATTTCGTTTTAAGTTCGGTTGTCAACAATGAGACTCACCTACGTTGAATGTCTTTTTGTGAAAAGTGTATGGGTCTTTCGTTTTCTGCAAATCAACCAACATCAGAGCTTATCTTGTTACTCTATAACGAAGACTATTTCCCCAATAAGAAGAAATTGAACCAGATAACTTCTATTGGTAGAAAAATGGTGCACCACCTCACTGGCATCTATCAGTACACGATTGGTTGACTATCACTGTACCCGACAAATGGACTGGGGCCGAAAAGCTTCTTTCGCATGGCCTGCACATTCACCCGATCTGACACCATGTGATTTTTATCTGTGGAGGTTCATTAAGGATTGTGTGTTCGTACCTCCGCTCATCTTCCAGACCTAAGACACAGGATTGAAGCAGCTGTTGCAAGAATTAACTCAGACACACTCAACAAAGTTTGGAATGAACTCACCTATCGACTTGATGTGTGTCGTGTGTAGAATGGGGCTCACATTGAACATTTGTAAGTTTGTTGGTGAAATTGTTTCAGTTGCTCTTTCATTCGTTGTATGAATTATACTTGTAATTTATATGTAATAAATATTATAAAGTGTTAAAGCTCTGATATTCATTTAGAAACACACTGTATAAAGACAAATATATGTAAATTAGGAATAAGATAAGAAGAGACAATTGAGAATCAACTTAAAAATGATTTTTTTAATGGCTTAACAAGTGAAAAGAATAAATAAGCGTAAATTATTCATAATTTATAAAAAGAAAATTTAAATAAATTGAAAATCCTGAAATAAAAAAAGAAGTTTTTTTTTGCAAAAAAATTATTTCAAAATAATGTTTCTAAAAAGTTCAAATACAGGATTCTGAAAATAGGTTAGATTGTGTGTGTGTGTGTGCATAATATACAATAATAGAATACAATTCAACCTTTGTTGTAAATGAAGACCCCTTTTTCGTTAAAATTGGGATCATTAAAACAATATTAAAAATTAATTATATTTTATAATTTTTTTTTTATGGAGAAATCTTTTATAATCCAGTGTTTGCTTTTCAAAAACAAACATTCACCAAATTCTGAAATATTAAAGTTTAAAAACAGTACATATCACAGAAAGCGAATATTTCATCACTTTTATCACTAAAAATATAACGTTTCATCAACAAATGAAGGAAAAAATAGGCTAACTTTTTATAAATTGTTTTTAATAATATTGCTATAAACTTCACACGCACAAATTGCACTGAGAAATATAGAAATCTTTATTTTACCTTTGTGATGTCTTAATTAACCTGTGATTCGTCTGATTTCACAATCATATGACAATTACACAAACAAAATAAACATGCCACACACAGCTGCCAACTACTCTAACTGCAATTAAACATATAGTAGAGTTAGCACGTGTTTTTTACTGTTTTTGGCTTTATTGTATCGTGGTTTTGATTCAAACCCTTTGAAATTATAACATAACTAAAGCTTGTCAAATCATAAGCAGAATCACAGCAGGCTTATTTTATGTGTGTGTTCGTGCACAGCTGCCACGTGAAGGTGAATCGAGTCTAATAAAACGGCCGAATGATTTCGCAGAGATGCATTTCACAGAAGATTTTTTTTCCTATTTCTAGCAGTATTTTAACTTCTGAAAATTATTATTTATTTATTTATCTAAATGCCAGTGCTTGGTTAATTACACTTAAATATCTTAATTTAGGAATTTCATGAACATTAAAGTTTTTTTTAAATATATATATTAAATTTCCATTTTTTTCTGTATATTTAATACAGATTATCTTTTTCATTTTACATTTTCATTTTTACTTATTATTTTTAATTTCTTACCCCGGAATTGTTTTGCGTAAAATTGCTTGAAAAGTTTATAATTTAAGATGGGCCCGGGTAGCCTAGTGGTTAGAGCACCGACTCGGCCCGGAAGGCCTTTAATCCCCGTACAGAATACCCTCCTATTACAGCGGTCCGAAAGTCTTGTGGGCTGATTCACGAGTGCCAGGAAACTGGAGAAAATTTCCCTCAATTCAGTTTCATGCCTAAATTTAGAGGTGGAGATAGAGTGGTTCGCCATCTATATCGTTCCTTCAGGAAAGCTTTTGACCATTTCTAGAGTGTTCTCCCCTAGAAATTGAGAGTTGGTGAATATTAACGTCGACTGTTCAGCTACACGATGGCGACGGGACCAGTATTTTAACTATGGTCAGGAGTCACGTGGACTGAAGGCCTGAGGCTGCACCCGCCCTCTCTAGACACCAACCAACGGGAGGATCGTTTAGCTCTGACAGATTTAACGTGCATCGCTGCCCTCACTACGACGGGTCTTTGTGGCTAATGGGACCGAAGCCGTGACGGTGCCACATCCGATACCTATACCACTCGGCTACCGCGGGCTCCTAAATTGAGGTGGAATCGGGCCAAATCGTACTGTCACCTGTATGGTGCTCAAAGGCTGCGGCTAACGACAGGCGTCACTTAGCCCTTTACCATGATGAATATCTGGGCCTTGATGTGGCCTTTGCCGATCAGGTGGCATTAGTAACAACAACATAATTGAAGATTATTTATCTCCAAATGTGTTTGATACACTCATCAAACATCTCAGAAGACTCCGTTAACACTCCCTCATATCTCAGATAATTTTTAACAATTTTTTTTTAATTTTCAATCTAGGCTACATGAATGACAAAAACAACGCATTTCATTGAAAAAATTAGCATCTGGAGTTAGGAAGTGTAATTTGAAAGCTTAGTTAGTAAATTAACTAAGATAAAGAACTAATCAATTAACATCATATCTTACTTCTCTTTAAACAGTTAATATATTGTCAATTTTGTACATCTGTGATGAGTGTTACAAAAGTTGTTTAAAACGTTCGTATTAAATTTTATTTCCTTTATTTATTTTCTTATTACAACGTTTACATTCTAAATTTACAAGATATTCAAGTATGGAACATCATTGTTATTGCATTTTGTGAAGCTTTGTTCTCAAAAATATTTAGTCATAATTGTTTCTTTTTATAACTATCTGTGTGTTTTACGAGCTATAAAAAGAAGATTCATGCAAAAATATATTTACTTACCTTATTATCTTTTAAATAAATTATGCGTTTTTTTGTGATATATGTACCTACTTTAATTTGATGCATACCAGGTGTCGTGGGCAACTAAAATAAGTCTATTAAGTTATAAACGCCATACATGTTGGTCCTTTGCACTAAAACACTTTTCTCCTGTGAAACATATTCTTTTAAATCCAATTACTTTTAGTAATTTGTAAATCTAGATACACACACAAATATAGACCATAACTAATAAGTGTTATTTTCAGTGTAAATCATTATATTAATATCAAAAGAGTTTTTATTAATTACTTGATTTAAAGTAAAATATGAATACTTAAATTTTTCAGTACGATGTTCGGAAAAAAGCCAGCATATTTCAAAAGCAAATAAATAATATAATTCAGAGCATAAAAACAGTTACATCATTTTTAAAAAATTTTTTTCCCCATTTTAAAAAATAAATTCACATAATTAAACATCCTAAAAATTTTAAAAAAATTTAAACTTTTAATTTTGAGGAAAAATTTTTTTAAAGCAGACTTTTATTATATATTTATATTTATTTTAATGTACTAAAAGAACTCATATATCATAAAGTACAATTTCTTTAAAGAAAGCAAGAAAAAGAAAGAGAGATTTTTTACATTACATTTGTGAAAATTATAGTTTCTTATTATAAACTTATATAATACTTTTATAGGCATCCTTATTGCATCTACTAGTAAATTTCTTTAATTTAAGTTGTTTTTAATAAAAAAAAACCACTTCCCCGGTGAGGATCGAAATCACGCCCCCGGGATTACCCAGGCACTGCATTATAAGTACCGCGCGCTAACCAATGCGCCACTGGGGGAAAAAGGGCCCCCTTTTCCCTTTAAATTAACAACTAATCACCGCGAGCGGCAAAAATAATGATTTGCAAATCCTTTAGCGGAAAATGAAAGCGGATAAGTTAGAAGGAAAATACAATCAGATAATATTTTTTATTTTCGTTCTTATTTACAATTATTTTATGTCTTCAGCATGTTCATGTATTGAAGTGAATTAAGGGTTGATGACATTTTATCTGATGAAAAAGTGCTAGTTTTATGCATGATAAGCCAGGAAGGGTTTAAGTCGGTGACAAAGATGTATGAAAAATATCTTCAGCTCAAATGTCGATTTCTCCAAAACGTATCGGGTAAAATATTAAGAGTTTTTGGCCTCAAAGTCAAAACGACACTTGAATTCCTCACGTAAAGTGGTGCGGAAATTTAAAAAATAAAGGGCTAGTTTTCACACACACAAATGCCGTCCTCGTCGTTCGTCCTGATCCTGAAGAATGACGTTCAAAGTCATTAAATCTCACGTGGCCTAAAAAATAACGTCATTATAAATAATTAGAAGGTAATATAAGATAGAAGCATAATATATATATATATATCTTGTATTATATTTATTTACAAGTTTTTAATTAATTTGTTATATTAGTTAATTTCATTGAATGGGGAAGGCTTAAATTTTAAATTTTCCTAATTCGATGGTTGCACTTGGATATTTTAATTAATTTTATAAATTTTAAATTTTGTTTGAAAACGTAGAATTTTGTCTCTATATTCGCCATTGATATTCTGAAATGGGATTTATATATATAAGATTCATTTAGTTTTCGATTTTTTATTGATTCTGTTGTTGATTGAATTATATATATTTAAATATATATAAATATATATATATATATATATATAGTTATATATATATATATATATATATATATATTAGTATTGATATATATATTATATATATATATATATATATATATATATATATTTGCTTAATGTATCATAACTTTTGGATTTCTTCTTCAACAAGCATGGTTAAATCTAGATATAGCTCTGTCTTTAAAACTTAATGAAAAGAAAAATTTGTTCATTATTTATAATGATTAATATTATATACATTTAGTTTCATGGAATATTCTAAATCAGCGATACTAAACCTGCGGCCCACGGGCTGCATGTGGCCCACCAGCCTTTTCGGAGTGGCCCGGTCATGGCCCATTGCACTAAGAAATTCAGTTACTGGAGAACAATGTACTAAAAATTTAGCGGGAAATTTTATCAACCAAGCAATCCAATATGTCAATTTTGCTATCAATTTGTTTTTTAACAGTAGAATGTAAGCAAGATACTTGGTCTTGAATGAAAGGAAGTAAAAATCATCCCATAACTCAGTAAAAATGCATAAAAATAAATAATTTTGTGTGTGTGTTTGATCGAAATATAGTATTAAAATAAAAGCCAAAAATGAGAGTTTTAATATTTCGATCAATTTTGCTTTTTCCAATGTTGCTTTGGTCTTATAGTGTGTTTTTTACATTATCTGCATGTTGCGGCCCACGTAAAATATCTATCATGTGTATGCGGCCTGAGTGAAATACCTATCACGTCTATGCTGCCTGACGGGAAAAAAGGTTGAGTACCCCTGTTCTAAATATATATATAAATATTCATGATTGCCTAGATATAAAAAAAAAATACTAAAATTTACGCTATACTTTTAAATATAACCTAGTAGTACAAAAAATATCTTTAGCTTGTACGAATTCGGTTTTAATCAACAAAAAAAATGTCATTTTCTTCTGTCAGATCATTTTCATTTTCACGAACTATAACGTACTTAATCGGTTTTAATAATCCAATAAATCGCTCATGAAAAAGGGAATTAAAATTTACCGTTTTAACTTTTGCTCTAGGCCTTTTTATTGACTAGTAATGATAATTTTCTTTATTATCTGATTATAGGGAAATACGTTTAACGAGGAAACGCTTAAGACAAAATATCGATTAACACGAAATAATACAACGGTCCTGACACACTTCTATATATTTTCATGCATTTTTTTCTCTTAAAAAGAAATGAAAATTGCTTAACAGGAAATACTTTCCCTTCTAGTAATGAACAAAACACGGGAAACACAAGCCATGCACGGCCGTTTAAATGGGGTATGAAATGAAACAGAGGTAGTGTCACATATTTCGTAGAAAGGAGACTAACTTGGCTTGGAAATATATCCTCGGAATAGCCAAGGTCACAAGTCAATTATGTTTATTTAAGCTGCTTTCAACCACCTCTCTCCTAAAAATTCCCGAGAAAATAAAATATCTCATCAGTTGGGTTTGGAATTCCGTGACGAATGCATCGCAGTGTGAATAGTTTAGCTCATGACTTTTTTTTTCTTTCCTTTTATTAAAGAAGAATTTTTATACGAGCACAATTACAAAGAGGTAAGAAGAAAAGAAAACTTTTATTTCACTTAAAATGAAGATGGAGCTTCTTAAAGCCATTGATCAAAAACAGAAGAGGAAAATGGAAACCTGTAAATATTTTGGTGTATGGCGAACTCTACATTATCAACAATAGTTTTAAAAAAATTAGATCAAATTACGGAAATGTTTAAATGGATTAAGTGTGAGCCACAGAGCTCTATATAAATAAAATCTACTCTCTCTAATAAACCCCACTTTGTTAAATATAGGGGTTTTTTTTATATTTTATTATTATTTTTACACATCCTTAACACGAAAAATATTTCGCTAAAAGTTCAGTTTCGCGTAAAATGATTTTACTTCAGTTTTCTAAAATAGACTTATTATTTTAGGTCAAGGTTAAGAAAAATTAAAATAAATATATAAATAAATTTTTCCTTACCTTTTTCCTATTCGATTGAAATATCGAATGTCCGTCATATTGAGGTTTAATTATTTCGAAATCAAGATGATCAAGGAATAATGATGCATAAAATAATTCGAAAGATTTTAATGAATAAAAAAATTACTTCACACAGAATTAAACAGGATTCAAGCTTCTAAAAACGGAATCCAAAATAATTATTACTGAAAAATTGTACGTAAATTATAGCGAAAACACAAAATCTTGTTCACTTTCACATGCATCACCATTAAAACTGGGTAATACTAATAATACAATTTAAAAAAAGATTAAATTAATAAAATATGTAGATGCATAATAAGAGTCAGTAGGTAATTAAAAATTAAATTAAATCTTCTAATTATATCTCTAAACTAAAATCCCTGAAATTGATATTTTTAATAAATATTGATGCCGAAAATTTTTAAAAAAATTAATTCGAAAAATTTTATATTTTTATAAAAAGTTAAAAATATTTTTTACGCGAAAGAAGAAATAATGTGATGGGAGCATATATTCTTATGTGGAAGAACATATGCTCCCCCACATATCCCTCAGTATCGGTTCATAATTTTATTCAGACACAGAAAAAGAAACTCCAAGTCTCATAAAAAAAAAAGAGACATATAATTTGGGACCATAACTCTCCCCACCCCTCCAAAATAAATAATAATTTTAAAAAAAAATTTAAAAACATGCTTTTACATTTAATCGAACTGAAAAGTAAAAAATAATTCGTATAATATAAGAATAAAATGATTAACGCTTAAATTAATGTCATTGAGGTAAAAGCGTGGAGTGCTTAGTACTACATTTACATTAACTCGGCAATTCGGAATAGAATTACTGCTAAATTATAACAACCACATCAAGCACCCCACTCTTTTACCACAATGGAATTAATTTTCTCAATAATCATTTTATTCTAATATTGTGAATTATCCTTTACATTTCAGTTCGATTAACTATAAAAACGTGTTTTTCTTTTTTAAACTATAATTTATTTTTCATTTTTTAGTTCCATCTACAATAAAAGATATTTTATTTTTAGTTTTTTACAGAGTCCTTTATTTTGTTTGTTGTATTTGTATTAACTATGAGCGTTTACGCTTTAGGGCCGTAATTTAATCTTTTATTCTTCAAATCTGGAAATAGGATTCGGAATTAGTTGCCAAATCTGAAAATGGGAAATTGTTAATCCCGATGATCCTGATCAAGTCAATGGAACAAGATTATTAAATTATTATATCGTCATCAGTTCTTGACAAGTGTGCAAAATTTCGAATTAATCTGACCCTTTAAAGTGGTTAAAAATCAAGTTCAAAGATTTCGTTACATGCAGGTGAAAATAATAAAGACTGTTAAAAAAAAGAATAAGTATCGGAGAATTTAAAGAAAAAATCAGAGATTTTATATTTAAAAATATTGCTGATGACGAAATTTTTTTTCCACCAGAAAAAAATTACCTTTAAAAAAAAAATCGTCTTCTTATTTTAAAATATAAAAATTTATAACAAGATGTATGGCATTCGATCCTTAACTGAAATTTTAAAATTGTACTAAATATGTATCATAGTTTAATATGACGTACAAAAATTCTTATTATTCCAAACAGCAACATGTTTTACTCTAAAAATCTACATTAAAATGAAACACGCCACTTATAAAGAGCTTTCTCCGGCAGCACATTTCCTCCTTTGTGGTAAAAGTGAGTTTTACAAAGATCGCTTCTCAACTCGAACTTGGGAAAAGAAGATTATGGCAATTATTAAAGATGTGACCAAGGTTTTTAGATTGGTGAATTTGTTGCTCTTTTGTGACAAATTCGGTGAAAATACGATATCGCCAAGAAAACATGGAGAGGGCTCTAGGATCAACTCTTCTAGAAACTACGCTGAGGCTATAAAGGACCTCTAAAAACAAAGCTCAGTGAAGCGCTGTGAGCACAAACACTGCTTCCTTATCCACAACCTAAAATTAATTATGCTTTACTGACGAAGTGGAGAAACACTCACCCCCTAACCTCACAACAAGAACACTTTTTAAACACATAAACAACATAGTCAGCTTCTGCATCATATCAAAAGACTAGGTCAAAGGGGTGAAATGCTGCTCTCGTTGACTACGTTTCAGTAATTCCGTTTCCTTCCAGCCGCTTCCTCTC